CTAAAAATATTCTAGACCTGAAGAAAATGGAAACCGGTGGCTTTATGGACATATCTGTCTTGGTTGGGGGAAAGTAGACACCACACATTGTTACCATGGGAACACAGAGCGAACAGCAGTGCCACAGTCTAATTAATGACAGTCAGTGCTTCAGCAGAGGGACACGATGACATCATCAATACCGGTATCACAGATGTAGCCACAGGGAATATGGCATAATGTCTGAGTGATTATGAATATGATCCAGTGTGTCACAGATGTAAGGGCAAGCAGTGGGGACAAAGGTATAGGATGTAAAGATCCCAACACTGAGCATTTATAATGTAGTGAGGCCTGATTATGAGCACTAAATGTCATCTCATCATCCAATAGCATGACCTACATAAAAGAGCGGAACTAATCTCTATGTAGGCGGATGGTGAATAATGCAGTAAAATGTGGGAGATCTTTATGAATCTTAGATGTCTCACACTTGTTGGTCGCTGGCATAGCAACGATTTAGTCCAGAATGAGTCTATATCATCACTCTGCTATTGTAATTTCTTGCTGTAATTTGTGTACCAAGTAGTGTGCAAGTTATATAACTGAGTGCATGAGACAGATTTTCTTTTTTGAACCTCTCTTAAGTCTTAACTATTCTTTCATCAGTTGACTTATTTCTATTTTTTTCTCTATTTCAGCAGTTCAATCTTAGATGAAATATTTCTGTTCACCTACAAGGCTAAGACTAAGCATCGAGCATAGATAAAATTTAGCACAGATAAAAACCAACCAACAAACCGGGTTTACATTACAACAAAATACAAATTCGGTTGTATGTTTTAATGTAAGTAAAGAAAAATCTGTGGTTGCTATCAAATCTGATTTACTCGGCAGGGCAGCTAGCAAATCTAAATAAATGCAGGTACATAGAATACCTCATACAAAAACTCACACTTACTATTATTTACTTATTCTCAACATTTAACTCTGCAAGCTTCCATATGAGGCCCTAAACAAGGACACAACTGAGTGCTGCTTGCTGACAGTAGCAAAAGTGTTACTAGTAACACATTAGACAGTCGTTGCAGGCGCACTGACACATGCATGGGCAGTAATTTCATACTTTTTGTGTATTCCCTAGGGCAGCAACACCATTTCAGGTGATTGAATGGAATAGTCTTGGTTTACACTGGCTGATAGCATTGTGTCTTTGTCTGGGTTGAATAAGTCACCCCTACCATATAACTGATGTTGGATTTTAAACTAATTTTAACTAATTTGGTAGGGTACAGTAACAATAGGTGCATCATTCTTGTTGTGTTGTGTCTTACTCCAATTTTTTTCTTGTGGTCACTTGGTGTTTACTGGTGGTCGGCTGCAATATGCAAGCAAACTACTGCCTGATTAGCTGCGCTGTATGTGCTGCAGCCTAATTGGCTACATTTACACAACACCTATAAGTTACCATAGTTATTGACAAATGTATAATTGCAGCCCTACCTCCCTACTTTCTTCCAGCCACCTGACTTTCATGTCATTCGAACATGAGAGAAACCGGAGCAACCAGTGTGATCGCACAGTGGGAGCTCCAAGCAGAAAGGGAATTGAATGTGGCCAATGTAGTGGGGGGGCCTCAGTGGTGCCTGGTGGCTCCTGCTGTGTTTGGTCTGGATAAACTGTAGTCAGATTTACCGGATGTACACTGTAGGTATAAGCCTGCCATTTGCAGCGTATTTCATTTACGCGTTCTGCTCCCCTTCCGCTATCTGCACGTTACACCAAAACAAGTTAAGAAGTTACAAACAAACTGGGTTTTTTCCCCCTGTAGCAAAATAATAACAATCTCCAGCGCTGTGAAGAGGTTCAGGCTGAGCAAGACCAGATAAACTGTACTACAGCTTGGAGGTTTTAACCAATACACAGCATTGTCTACCCCGTGTGATTTACTGTCATTTTGTTCATAAACTCCAACATAATCAATAGTATATTTTTATTTTAGTTGCATGCTAAAAGGTTCAGCAGACACCCTACTTGACCCGCCATCACTTTAATGTATGTTGTGTGGAGGACTTGTGTCATAGACTGTTTACAAGAGATGCCTCAAAACTCTGTACCTGTTGTGGAGCAGCCACAGTGAGGAGTGGTGAGACAGTGGACAAAGACGCAGGCATTCAGTTGATGAAGGAGGTATAAGTGAGTGGGGGACCAAAGAGACTGGCTGTGCTGCTGTGGCTACATGTCTCACAAGCTGGTTAGAATGGCATCATACTGGTACTGGCACATTCAATCTGGACTACTATAACAGTTGCAGTCTGGGAAAGTGTGATTCATTACATGAAGATGGCCGTTGAGACAAGTGGTCTGAAAATATAGCATGCTACAACTCTGTCAGGCTCATTGAGATAAACAGAAACAGAGAGCTGGTTGGCTTTGACTTTTAAATCACGTGCCCACAGACCATTTTGTCTTTTAAAAGTAATGTTGGAAAAAGCTATTAAACACAACCACAAGACCCTGAAATGGGTAAGATGAAGAATTTGTGTCCCTTGTGCAGCTCAACTATACACACAGTATTTTATATTTTGTTATATTACATCTTATAACTTTTATTGCATGTGCTTGAAAGGGATACAGACTATTTCAACCTTTAAAATGATTTGCTGAAACCATCGTAAGAACCAGCACAAGCCAGCACTTGTCCTCTCCATTATGAGCAGCTCCGTTTGTCTAATTGGGAACATTCACTTAAGATTGTCAGTCAGTTCTGTTGTGCTCTGTTGTCTGTCGTCTTAACCCACATGACAAGTGGCCTTTATCACAAGACCGTCTATCATTAGGGAAACTCTCGTTCGAAACCTGAACATCCAGTATTTAAAGGAAAGGACGATGACAGATTATGAAAGAGATGGCAGCATTAGAGTAAGAGCTATACATGTATCTTCTAACACAGCACGGCACTAAGGCTGAGTGTAAATGTCAAGAGATCCTGACAGAAGTAAATGTTTCTTATCAGATGTCTGTCAGACATCACTAAGTCAACATGGCTCAGAGGGAAAAAAAAATCTTTATAGTGATTATCATGACAAACAGTTTAGCAGCTGGCGTCCTGGTGGATCAGTGTCAGAGTCGTAGCCCTGTACAGTAACAGTGATGGTCTTGGTTGGAATCAGACTCTGGACCATCGTTGCACATCATCCTCCACACTTGGCAATGTCGGTGTGTTGGTCGTTTGCCATTCATGGTGCCTATAGAATGAATCTGGGATGACTGACGCCGCCATGAGATTCACATTTGTGGTTTAGAGTGAAATGTCACGACAACATGGGTTGCCATGACGTTAATTACAGACATTCATGTTCCCATCCGGATAAATTGTAATCACTTTGGTGATTCAGTTTTTTCAATCTCCATCAAGTCAACATTTTCATTTGTCATTTGTGCCTTCAGAACTAATGACATTCCTATCAGCCACTACGATTTGTGTTTATTGCTAATTAGCAAATGGTAGAATGTTAACATTTAACAAAGAAGGTGGACATTAAACCTACAAAACATCAATATGTTATCACTGTCATTGTGAGCATTTCGCCATGCTAGCATTAGCATTTAGATGTGCCTAAGTACAGCTTCTGAGAGCTCCTTGCACGGCTATAGCCTCTTAACATTGTTCTACTTTATAGTATGAACAAAAAAATAAATGTCAAAAGTTGTTTAAAACAGAAACAACTGGAATAGCTAAATTTAAGGTTATATGTATCCTAATAAAAATGCTGTTTTTTTTCTTTAAAACACTGCATTACGTTATATTAACAAGTTAATAACAAGTTTTAATATAATTCAGGATGTAGTTGTTCAGTTGTTTATGAACAACAGACATTACACAGATTTAAAATGGCCTACCAGTGTCAACTAGTGCAAAACCTCCCATCTGCTTTACTAAGAACAACACAGGACTTATCTTGACCGCGAAAAGACTCTGAGACACATATTTACCAACTAACTTTCCAAGATTAAAAATGCTTCTGTTCACAAAACACAAGATCACAAAACACAAGATCACAGCAAGGTTTGTCATAAAAATAACAAAATCAAAACCAACCTCTAATCATTGAAGTCAGGACTTGTCTACAGTCGACTGCACAATTATATACTACATACAATCAAACACTGATATTGTTGTTGCAGAGTCTAACGTTTCACCTCCTCCTCAATATCTGAAAATAGTCTTAAAGTGAACAGGTTGTCTTAAAAGCTCACTTTCAGATGTTTTTGTCGTTTTAAAAGTTTTAAAACACCTGGATATATGTGTGCATCTGCAGCCATTGGCGTGATCCTTTGACAGAAGCGAAAACATTTGGACCCGGTCCATTACGAGCCCTTGAAATTAGTCATGCAGACTGCTGACCCACATTTGAGACTTCAGCTGAGGGAAAGGCAACCAGGAAGTTGTGGGGGAAAAAAACAAAACATAGGAAGTGGGGAAGTACTTGAGGGGAGAAACAAAAGCCTTCAGCTTCTTGTTTTTCTCGTGGATTTCAGTGTCATCTTTTTTGTACGGCCTAGGTCCTTTTTTCCAGACTTAAATGAGTGGGTTTTATATATTTATAAACAGGGTCAGACAGGCTAATCTCCTCTGTCTTGCTGGCAGGGAGGAGACACCATTTACCCTCACCTCCTCTAACTGCCTTCATACTGTGAAGTTACACAGAGGGGCCAGTCCTGATCAATCAATGTACACTTTTCTTTTTTTTTATCTTTCTGGATAAATGTGAGCCCATCCTGATAGATTAAAGGCTGCTTGTCATGCCTCCATGGCCAAGTGGTACTAGGCTCCACTTTAGACGGTACCATTCACAAATCCACAGCCCTCTGCAAACACACACTCCACACATATTGATCATTCTCCCGTCTTTTAGTGCTCAGAATGACATTTAGTGGGGTGCTGTTAGGCATTAAGCACGTGTTAAAGATTACTATCCCCCCCCCCCCCCCTCCTCCTCCCGGCCACTACAGGTTTTCTTTCGGTTGTGTTGCACAGCCGACTGCTTATGCTGCCGCTGCCGTCGTTAGCCGAGTATTGAGCTACCAGCTGACCTACTTTCTCTCAGCCACTCGGTCCTGTTTACAAGGCACTGCCAGCGGAGGATGTGGAGTACAGTGCCTGAAAAACAGACGAACACAGTCCGCAACTGGCGAATATAGACCGGATTGGGGCATTTTGGTCGTGTGTTGGTGATAAATTAGGACTGCCAGAGTCACAGACGGCGCACCGGCGATTAATAACAGCACGTTATTAACTTAAGGCGTTGTTATGCAATTTAACGCTTTCAGCGGCTGGTCAGTCGGACGCTGGTAGTTGCGCTCAGCTGCTATGTTGTAGTTGTTTTTTATATATAAAAAGATGACTACATTGGTTGAAGTTAAGTGTGGATCTTTCTTTCTGCTGGAGTCTCGTTGTCAAGGTACGTGAGATTTAATTTAAGCTTACGGTTTTTCTTTTTCCGTCACTCCTGACAGACTTCACTGTTCATAGCGTCAAAGTTCATATAAGTGGCCTGTTTCCAAATGAAAGCAGAGGTGGTCGACCGCAACCCCCTTTTTTCTCCTTAAACACTGTTTTCTACGAGAGACAGACAGTGAAGGCTGGATGTATATATGCTGTCATGTACAGGGAGTCTGTATTGGCAACGTTAGCGCTCTTGAACGCTGCTTACATGTTTTCAGCTCTCAGTCATCATGTGCCCTGGTTACAAGGTTGAAATAACCTATTCCCCCCCCATTCGTGGCAATATACACTGAAGGGATTTTTGTCATATTATCCTCAAAGACGTCAGATAGCAAAATGTTAAATGTCACAAGAAAAGAAATCATTAAATAATTTCTCAGCGGGCTTAGGTCAGGCTGATGTTACCCAACCTGGCAGCTTTAAGTCTACTGGAGTTCACATTTCTCTGACTAACCCCACTGTTTTCTTGATCAGGAGGCACTTTGGGCTTCTCCTTTGCAGTTGCATGGCTTACTTTGAGAGAGAGAGAGAGAGAGAGAGAGAGAGAGAGAGAGAGAGAGATTTCCTTTGTGTGACCCAGGGATGAAGTGTGCAGAATTACTTATTTACCATGTACATACTGGGGAAGTTAAAGGGTCACCGAGTGCACTTATTGGACTTCCCTCTGGTTTTCATTTGTAGGTGTGTAACCAATAGAAGTGCTTCCTGTTTCCTTAAGCTTTGCTCACAGCAGAAATGAGACTTGTTTTCAAATTTAGCAACGGATCAATATGTTATGAATCAATTTTTATGTTTACACTTATATGTATAGACTGCACATATGGACTAATATGTTGATTCAACCAAAGGTCCAGCAGATGCATTTGTCATCACATAGATGTTGGATATTGTTACTGTTGTCAGTTTAATTATAATACCTATCTTATGGGGAAATGAAGCAAATGAGTTCCAGGTAATTCTGTACAAATGTTATTTCGGATTATAAGCTAAAGCAACCAGACCTAGATACATGTTAAAACACACCATTCCAGATTGACTGAAACTAAGCTTGTCCAGGCCCAGTTAATGTTTACCTGACAGCTTGAGCTGTCGGCTCAAAACCAGATGCAGGTGGAGGTGGTCAGGCAATGTAAACTTTTACACAAGCAGACAGTAGCAGGCACTGCTCCAGACTCTACGGCTGGATTAGCAAGTAGCTTAAATTCATCTATCAGCACAGGAGCAACAAAAACACTGTGAGCTCTTTGGCTACAATACCATAGTATTTTGGAGGTGAAACAGTCATGTGCAAGAAAAACGCCGTGAAAAAGTCCTGTCTTCTGCAGCACATAATGGTTGGATTCATTGTGGTATGCCAGGGAATATATTTTTGGTAGTACTTGATAAATGATAACTAAGGGCTGTGTGAATTATTGCTTTTTAATTATTTATCGAGGGACAAATACAGTCAACAGCAATAAAGTGACAATAAGTATTTATTTCATTGTGAGCTGCTAGTCTGGGGACTTTATTACCCAGATTTTTGCTCATGTTTGGTCACCTGGCACCTGATTTGTTTCTGTTTTTTACAGGATGTCTATGTTTTATACTTGTGTGTCATTACAGCTAAATATTGCTTTGCTTTTTCAGTATGGGTGTAAAATAGGTCTTAAATTGCATTCATAATGGTCTTGAAAAGGTTTTAAAAAGTCTTAAATTGGCCTTGGACACCAGACAAATCCATCTGCTTCCTCACACTGATGCAACAATCCAGTATTGCCATAAAGTTGTCCTGCTCCTTGATTTGCAGCATTGCTTATAACAGCCTAATATGCTCAGAGTTATTAAAGGGCTGGCTACCACGGTATCAGCGGTATGGTAAAATCTCTGACGATGGACACATTATTTAGTCTCGCCCTAATAAAAACTCTCCAGTTGAATTATTTGTCTTTCTAAATGCAAGGTAATTGTGCAAGTCTTAATTCTAATTTGTGAGTTGTAGAAGAAATAAATGGCATGCTAATTACACAGCTCTTGTCCTGTATGATAGAAATCAACAAAGTTTTCTTTGGTCTTTAGGCTTACAGTAGATTGAAGATAAAAACCCCTCTTGACTTACCCAGTAAACATCATCTATGCTAAAATAATAAAGGTAAAAAGTCTGGGTGTTGCTCTTAATCTACTTCATGATTTGCAGACAGTAATATCTCAAGCTGCCTGTGTGACGATACTGGGCGTGAGATCTTAAAGCTCAGCATGGACATAAAATTAAATGTCTATCTACTAATCTACAGTCTGTGCATACCATTGTCAAAAATGTTACTTATGTCTATAAATCACGTCAGAAAATCATTGCAGCTCCAATCCTGACGTGCTGAAGCTTACGGGCTTGGCAAACACGCCCCAATCATTGATGTCAAACAAGTATTTTGTCTTTGACAGCTACAGGAAAATATCTGCTGTCAACATCTGTGCTCAGATCATCTACACGCCATCATCATTGTAAAGTTATTGATGGCATCAAATACAACCAGTTTGAGAGCTGCAGTCCATCATTAACTAGGTGCTCACATTAAAGCAGTCCGTGGTTTTCAGTGGTGGTTTAAAATCTGCTGGTTGTTTAGGAAAGCATCTCTGGGTGCTGACTTTCATTATGCGAGTGCTTCAGGAAACCTTGTGAGTACAGTGAAATTAAATATACAGATGGTCAGCATTATTTCCTATACCAAGCTATAGGGTGAGGTGTGAGGTTCAGGTGTTTTTCCTCCATTAAACTTTAAAATGAAACGTACACTCTTTCAACGCTGTTGTTCTACCGTCCCTCTTTGGGAGGTTATGTACAGTAAGGAGGCTATTCCTCCTCCTTATTGCACATAACCTCCCTTTATATAGCCTGTTGACATACTGTTTGGCCACGAACTTGAACTTCAGTTTACTGACTCGTGTGTCGTGAGTTGAAGTTGCTAGTCAAAGGCTTTAAATACCCGATGGCACGGGTGTAACTAGACTCTGGTGTTTTTTAGCTGTTAACCTTGCAAGGTGTGGTTTAACCTCAATACATTGCAGACTGCTGATATGTGAGGTGTTATTTTACACAGCTTGGCAAAGTTAAAGTTGCATACAGCGATTCAAGATTCAAGAAGCTTTATTTATCCCGAGGGAAATTACTGTGCAACAGTTTAAATACAAAGGTGGTAAAGTAAAGTGCTACAGGGTTAGAGTAAAAATAATTAAATTAAAATAAAGGCTAACATAAAATAACACAACAATTAACTAAATGCAACAAAATGTAAGCACTTACAGGTAACATAAGTAGAAAAGAAGAACACAAGTAACTAAATGTGACAAAGTGCAACAAAAATTGCAGTTAAACGTAGGTACAGTATATACAATATACAACAATACGCAGCGTGCAGTTTAGCAGCAAAAATTGAAATAAAATAAGTACGATTATTGTTGCATCTAAAGTTGCATATTTTTTAGTTAATATAAAAGTAGGTTAAATTAAATGATTGGTATTTACTAACTAGCCTTATGTTGCATATATAGGAAATTAGTCAACAGGAACCTCCGACAACAGTTTTATATTTTGTAACTCTTTCCGTCTCGTGCTGTAACACTGTTTGGTTGTAACTGCAGTAAATGCAGTAGTTGTGTTTCTAATTAAGGATTAGTTAGTTTCCCTCAGCTAATGGTTTTTTTTGCTGAACATGAAAAGTATTTCAAGATCAATTTGGGAAACATTAAAATTGTAATAACCCAATGGAATAATAGCTTGAATTTTCAGTAACGATTTCAGTCGTCTGTAGTTCAGCGTCCTGTGCTCTGCTTGCAAGGTTTCTCCCTGCTGCTTTCCTGCTCTATTTTCTCATGCGTCCGTGTGGGCAGGGGAGGAAAGGAGTAGATATCGGTTTGTTTACATTAATTAAGACTCTAATTGAAAGGTGTTTCAATTAGCTTGCACTGAAAAGTAATTCCTACCTTCTTTGAACTCGGTAAAGGGTTGACAGCATTACATCATTGAGGGAGTGTGAGATTATAACAAATAACCAACCAACCAAAAACAAAATGTCAACCTGTTAAAATCTTAAGGAGGTAAAGACTGTGTTCATGGTTCAAAGTTGCTGACTTGCAGTAGGAGATGGGATGTGAAACTGGGCCTCCTGTTTTTTAAGTCAAACACTTTGTCCATCGAATGCTACTTCCTGCTAAAGTAACTCACTATTGCAAATTAGATGAACATAATGTATTGAGGACATGGTTGCTCTATCCCCTGGTGGTTGTCTTTGGCAGAATCAACACTTGCTGCTTTTGATTTTTGAAGGAATGTCTCATCAGATTTTGATGTGTAAAATGTGAACCAATATATGCACAATATGCAGTATATCGGGGGGATTTTACTGTGAAGCAGTTACATAAAGCATTGACAGTACAGAGCTTGTGATAAGCATGAGTGCTATGCTTATAGCTTAACAGTGGTCTCTTTTCAACTCACATAGACTGTATAATTTGTGAGAGGTATTCTTCAGTTTTCAAATTCTATATATAAGGATTTTATATCACATTATATTATATGACATGATTTCAGAAATGATGCAAATGTTTATTGAGACTTAAGATGAAGTAAACATATATTACACATATGTTTTTGCCATTACAACAATCTAGTGACAAAAGTATTCTTTATAATAAAATATGTGTTGATTGAAATTAAACATTCTCAGCAGCTACATGGGGAAAAATATAACATGGTTTTTCTGCAAGACATTGCTGTTTAGTCATCGCCATCCACCCATCCATTAGCTATACCCGCATATCCGTCAGGGTCGCGAGTGGGGTGTGGGGCTGGAGCTGATCACAGCTGACATTTGGCGAGAGGCGGGGTACACCCCGGACAGATTGCACGTCAATCACAGGGCTGACACATAGAGACAGACAACCATTGACGCCCATTCACATATTTACATTTTTATAAGTCACACAGTGTTGAGTGTGAGTGAGCAAGTGGTCTGCAGCATGGCGGTGACGTGGTGCTCAAAGAGCAGCTACATACAGTTGTATGTTCGCACACACTTTGAGAAGAAAAAAAACAGGATTTTTATAATATTGTTCCTATTCCTTCAATGAAATCTCTCCATTGCAGGATTAGATTTTTCTCCTTTACATCACAAAAGGGTATAAGACTGCCTGTCAGCTCAGGCTAGTTTAAAGTGCCGGATGCGGACATTCAAGGTTTTTGTTTTGAGTAGTTAATTAAACAGGGTAGCACCACACCACTCTTAAATTTCCATGAAAGTATTCCCCCTCTGACGATGGGTCTCATCTTAATTGAAAATGATGGAAAATGCAATAACTGGTAGTTTCCCCTGAGGCTTTTTATGTGCATCACTCTCTCTGTGTACATGCGGAATAAAGACAAGCCCACAAAAACACTGACGGCTGCCTAAATTCACATTACCCACCAACTGTAATAATAAGTTGGACATAATTGATATATAATGTCAAATATTTCCCGACCACAAAACCACAAATTAACTTAATCAAGGTTAAAGGAAAGTAGTGTGTGTATAGTTTTCCTACTGGAAAATAATTACTCGTTGTTATTGTGACTATTTCAGTCCGAGATGATGTATGTTCTGTTAACCAAAGAAAGAAAAAAACAAGTGAAGTGTAGAATAGTATAGAATCCAGTGTGTGAGTTTGGTTTATAATAGAGGTGTCTGCTCCATGTTGTTTAAGCTTGCCTTATGCAGAGGATGTGAAGGAGGTGGCTGTTTTACACTCTTTTTTTTTTTTATGTTGGGTTATCAAAAGAGGCTTCTGCTGACATTTTTCTAGGTCAGGGAAGCTCCTCCTGTGCAAAAACACTTCTTTGGTGATGAAGTACTGTACCCAGGTAGTAACTGTTAATGCACTGTACATTGTATTATTAATGGTTAGCCAGCAAAACGCATTTGGTTGTTTAAGTAAAAAAAACAGACATTCTTTACAGACAAATGGAGGATCTTCCTGGATTTTTGTTAAAGCACCTCCAGCTTATATTAACATGAATTCAAAAACACAAAATTCCCTCTTTCAGGATGTTGCAATCAGTTATGTCTGTTTTCACAGGATTTGGCGTTTCGTTGGAGGATTCGAGGAGGCGGCGGGCAGCTGGTCCATGATAGATTTTTCCAAAAGAGTGTTCAAACGAGGTCAGCGCGGATGGGACTTATAAGACTTCAGAAAGGGCCTGGTTGGGAAAGGGAGTGAGTATGGACAACCTTTCTGACTTCGGTGGCCCCTGTCCATCCACCCACAGGGAATGGGAGTGAGTATCAAAACATGTTCACTTCACTTTGTGATATTAATTGTATTTGTGCTCCATATACAGTATTTTATACTTACATATTCTCTATTGTGCAAGTAGTTTTTCAGCATTTGAATTATTCATAACAAATATGTTGCATTAAAGGGTGAAAGGGTGCATTGGAGACCCCCTTTACTCTGCTCTAACAGGCATCTTATATCCTGGATGTAGTCCAGTTATGAAATGGGCAGTGAAGTATTCAACATAGGTATTTAACAGTTTTCTTCATGGATTGTTAGAATTAATGGACAAAACGAGTGTTTAAAAGAAGACAAACGTTTTTTTTTTATTAAACTCATCTATACCGTCTTAAATTTAATTGGACATGGCTGCACGATGTGGTAAAAAAAATAATATTGGAATTTTGGAAGTTTTTGCGTCACAATGTAAATCTTTTCACTAAAAAATACAAGTTGTTGGTGTCTGTACCAAACAAACATGTTTTCTTACATCTGGAGAACACGATTTGTAGGCCCTACCTCTTCAGAACTACAGTATTTCATTATAATGCTGTTTTGCCACACATTTATCCCTGTATCAAACAAATTGTAGGTTCTGCGATTGGACCACAATTTAATATTTCAATGGTCAATCTAAAAAAGTCCACACATAATATTCTTTTTAGAGCTGCTGAACAGTAGATCAATGTGCTGCATAGATCTATTATTATTCCTGTGAAAATAATCAAAAAGGAGCTGGGCTGTTCGTCAGAAAGTCTGAAAGGACGTCTTTCAGTCAAATTACAGCAAGGTTGCTGTTAAAGAGAAATTGATGAGTGTGGGTTGACTAATTAAATAATAAGATGATTGGCGACAAATGTGGGGTGAAATTGTTTCTAAGAAGGATTCAGCTGACTCAGATTTTTTTTACAAGAATTTGGCATTCAGGGAACTTTTCCATAGTTTCTAATTCTAAAGTTTATAATACTACAAGGCAAAAGGGGATATATTAAATATGCACTAGTGTAAAAACACATTCTAAGAATTCATTTAGTGAATTTAGCTCTGAATAATTGAAGAAATCTGTGTCATGTACTTTGCATAACCCTCCCAGTTTGAGAGAGAGGGTGCTACAATTTTTGAGCTATACATGTACATACTGCAGTGCATCTGCAAAGCACAGAACATTTCTCACAGATGTGATCAACATCTGCAAAGGGTAATGAAGCATTTTAATGAACCACTGCTGATCTAACACAACTAAGAGTTAAACTCACAACACAGGGGAACAAATTGAAGAAACCTCAGTAACATGGTAAATGTACATCTCTAGTCAATACTAAGTATAATTGTCTTATAATAAAATTATATAATTATTGATCGTTAGCTCACCAGGCTAATTCTACACTCTTTCACTCTTTTTCTTCTCTACTTGCAACACATGCTGTACATGGATGCAGACAGCTGTTAAAAGTGAGGGAGAGAAATTGCATTAGAAAATAACTAGACCTGACCTGAGCCTGAAGGTTTATACCAGAAGGTGGCACTCCTTGAAATTGATTATCTGTGGAGTAGTAACATGCACAGAGAAACCGCCGTAATCAGGGTAAAGTCTTTTTATTTATTTATGTACGGTTCAACGCTGTACAACTGATTATCTCCTTTGCCATTAATGAACCTGTTACTTTATATAAAACTCACATGGCAAGTATCTACTAGCAATAATGTGTAAAAAAGGAAAACATTGGCTTCTGGCTAAGTCCTCCCTCTGCTCTTTGACAGTTGACATATTGTCTTCTGATACAAGTGACATATAATGTGAATCCACATGTTAAACCCGCTGCCACATTTCTTGTTATTATCAAACTGTGTGAGCCTGAATATGCAGCATAACCCAAATATACGTATATTGAGTAGGGCATTTACATGCCACAGTGACCTGTTAAATATGGGAGAAAATGAAGGCTCAGCAACTGGGTTACCCAGTTATTTGAACAGTGCTTTGGATGAAGCCAGTGAGATCACAGTTTGTCTCTGTTACACTTTATTTACCATGTACCCCTCTGTTTTCTAGCACCAACAGCTGTGTGGACGATTTAATGGATGAAGATGAGAAAGACAGGGCAAAAAGGTAGGCTCAGTGTTCATGTTTGTATGTCTGTCAGTGTGGGATTTTTCCTCCCTGATCCTGCAGTAATGAGGATAGAAAACATGTATCTGTGGTGGTAGTTAATCATTTTAAAAGAAACTTCTAAGTTAAGAATGAAGTCCATGGAAATTAATACTATCTGAGCATAACTTACAAGACATAGTTCACAAAAAATGCATCCAAGTGATGATTAAGTTTTGTCATCTCTTGCAGCTGTATAATATAACTTAATATTCCACACTACTTAATTGTGCTAATAGTTACAGATTTTTTTTTTTTATGATTGCTGACCATAATCTAATCTCTACAAATTAAATTTGTCAGAGTTGCTCCAAAATGCCTGCTCTGACCCCGTTGTTGATGAAATGTGTAATTTGTTGCACAAACAAAAATGGCAGATGTAAATGTTCCAAAATAATTCCAGATTAGTCGACATTAAAATAGCCACAAACTAATTATTTCTCTTTCTCAATTCATGAGGAAAGAAGAATGAATGAATGAACCAGTATGATGTAACCTACTGTGTAAATTGGTCTAAATTGAACTGCTGTATTCTGTATTTAATCACCTGGCTCATATCCTTTGTATAAAATCCACCTCTGTGTTTGAGTGTGATTTATAATTATGTATTTGTATAGTTAATTACCTACTCTGTAATTGTCTGTTTAAAGAACTGAACTGTATTAATCCTTTGTCATGCTGTCTTTATAACATAGTTATTTTACTCACAGATAGGCGCAAACACATTCTCTGTTTTCAGAACTGTGCTGCTGTGCCCCCCTCCCCCCCACTAATTTCTTTGCTCATTTATTGTGAACTGTTTCGATTCTTCTGTCTGTCCTTGCAATCTTGGCTTGGTTTTTGTTTGGAAAAGCGATGTACTGCCTGAGCAGGATAAATTAATGTTGATTGGCTCGGCTTCCACGTATAATTCCCCAGACTTATAATTGTTCTCATGTGTTCACCGCTGAAGGGCATCGCGTAACAAATCTGAAAAGAAGAGAAGAGACCAGTTCAATGTGCTCATCAAGGAGCTATGCACCATGCTGCAGGGTCAAGGCCATCCGCGCAAGATGGACAAGTCCACCATACTGCAGAGAACTATTGACTTCTTGCAGAAACAGAAAGGTATGAATATGTAGTTAGCTCTTCTCATTTCATTTTTTTTTTAATTTTCCATCATTTAGTCGATTTAATCCTCATCTTTGTCTTTTTCAGACATCACTGCACAGAATGACACTTGTGATGTGAGACAAGACTGGAAGCCTTCGTTCCTCAGTAATGAGGAGTTCACTCAGCTAATGCTGGAGGTAAAGCACAAGAGGATCTTTGTAGAGAAGTAGAAGTCGATTAAGCTCTGCCATTGACTGATATTGATATTGAAGAAAGGAAATGTTCACCCATGGATACCCGGGCAAGATGACATGATGGGAATTTATTTTCAGCTGATCTATATTTACTGTTTTTTGGAAATGTAAGAACTCTGTGACTGTGGTAGAGTAGAGGAGACACTTTGAGGCAAATAGGGCACAGAAAGAGAAGTAAATAGTAGCACATGTCAATATAAGTGTGTCACGCATTTAACTACCACAGATGATGATGATGATGGTATGTGGCAATGCTGTTTGTCATCAAAGTACCCACTTTCTTCCTCTTCTTACAGGCCCTAGATGGTTTCTTGGTGGCATTAACTACAGATGGCAACATCATATACGTATCTGACAGCGTTTCTTCACTTATTGGCCATTTACCGGTAAGTGAAAAAGCTTAATTAAGTTACTTTTATTCTCTTGCTAACATCGTTTTATTGTTTGTCCTTTGTATTTGTTTTTCAGCTTCAGGCTCATTCTGATCCAGACATACAAACATATATTTATCTGTAAATCTCTTACCTATTTGTATCACAATTTAACTTTCTCATGATGTATCTTTACATTCCTACACAGTATTTATCTTACATAACTTCTTTCATGGCAATGAATTAAGATCAATTACGTCAATTACTGTATGTGCTGGTTCAAAAGTGCAAACTACTTTAAAACGCATTCAGAAATAAAGATATTTTGCAGTGTATAATAATGATATATACTGTATATTGTTGCATGTGAAACGCTCACCAGCAGACTGACCATCATATATATATCCTTTTCAACCAGTCAGATATGGTGGACCAAAATATCTTGAATTTCCTCCCGGAGCGGGAACACGGGGAGGTGTATAAACTGCTATCATCCCACATGCTGATGACTGACCCCATTGCTGCTGACTTCCTTGACAGTGAGTTATCCTACTGGGCACGCAGTCTGGCCCCTGTCTGTTTCTGTCTGTGTCTCCCATATCAGGAGGTCAAAAGTTCAGTGCATATTAGCCAGTCTTGTAATTCTTCACTTGGAGCTTCTGTTCGATATGATCGATGTCTGAAATACAAAGACAGTTGACTCTTGATATCAGTCTTGTCAAGTTCCTTTCCAAGTTTGTGTTTCAGAACATGCCCAACGATTGCTCTGACACTAATAATGGCGCTTGACACTCTTTATATTTAGAGCAGGTTGCTGAATTGGGATCTAAAGTTTATTGGATTGCTGATAAGTGTGTATCTAAGATTAGCCTTTTTGCTAATAATAGGAGCTAGCTTAGTATCATAGTTAAGACTTTAAATCACTGTTCTGTTAGCACAGTAATCCAAAGCAATGTAGTATCTGGGGCTCAAGACACTGACCTTAATCTTGTGTTACTATTTGGCTTTTCCGAGGAAGAGAGATGGTGATTCGCTAGTGTGTTGGTCTATCCTTAGAACCCTAAATAGCAAACTGTCACAGGGCCATGTCTGGAGTGATCATCATGTCTTGGGGACATTTCAAAAGAGACATCTATCATTTGTCTTCCTTGCATAAAAAGCTTTCAAGCAAAGTGCCTTACTGTGCAAATTATGCTAAATCGTGTTACACAAGATCTCATCTTCTTTTAGCCACTGGCTGAACTCACATGAATTCAAGTGGTGCCCAAACTACCTTGGTCTGTCCACCCAAAATGTAATGATTTTTGAGCTTCCGTGTAACTGCCTGCTTATTATGCACACTATAATAGTGAATTTGCAGGAAATTCAAAATCTTGTTGCAGTCAAATTGTTCCATTATTAAGTTTCTCCATCTGAGAGTTCACATTAGAGAGCGATTGAAGTGCATTTGTTATGCTGTCAAACCATGAATCTGCAACTTTGACTCCTCCAAGGGATGTAAGAATTGTTTTAACGACGGTATTAAAAGATTACATAAGCATGGTGCCATAACCCTGTGTTAATGTGAACTCTTTCTTTCTCCTCGGGCTATTTGAACATTTAATAGCAAAACATTATTTATTGTCAGATCTGAAGTATGATGAAGTAGAAGTACTGCAGATCTGTAACTACTGTGTTGTCAGTATCATACAAAACCTGATCAAAACACACCTCATTAAGAATTGGGACACTTTGTTATACAAATGCACATATACAGGCTTATAAATGGTCTGTTAGTCATGAAAATGCTGCTGTTTTTCAGGTGAGGCACACATTGAATTCTGCTGTCATCTAGCCAGAGGTAACATTGACCCAAAGGAGCCGCCTGTATACGAGTATGTCAAGTTTGTTGGAGATTTCAAGTTTCATAACAATGGTAAGGATTTCTATTTTCTCCTTGTTTAAAAGACTTAAAATTCAGTGAACTGTGTAACTCTCGTGCATTTAGTAAACACTTTTGTTAAGGTCAATAAATACTCTTAAAGGTCCAGTGTGTAACATTTATTATTCATGTTGTGTTTTTGTATGGCTGCTACCTTGGCCAGGTCTCTCTTGTAAAAGAGATTTTTAATCTCAATGGGACTTCCTGGTAAAATAAAAGTAAAATAAAATAAAAAACAAATTTATTGGGATCTATTGGCAGAAATGGAATATAATATTCATAGGCATGTTTTCATTAGTGTATAATCACCTGAATAGAGGAATTGTTAAGTTTTGTTAAGGTTACCTTATAATGAGTATTTTATATCTACAGACGCAGCGGGTCACCTCCATGTAGTCCGCCATGTTGAACTGCCATGTTTCTACAGTAGCCCACAAGGGACAAACCAAACACTGGCTTTAGATAGGGGCATTCCCTTTTTATCACGTTTCACAGCCACCATAGCAGACACCACTAGATGCCCCGAAATCCTACACAGTGGACCTTTTAACTAAGCATTAATTTAACCAACTGAATGGGGGGGAAAAAAGAAAGTAGTTGTCTTTCATGTGATAATATTAAAGCGGTACCTTGTCTTCTGTCACACAGTGCCTACATCTTCTTGTAACGGGCTTGAGTTGACGTTACCAAGAAGCCTGCAGTCATCGCTGGAGGAGCAGGTCTGCCTCATTGCTACTGTACGATTAGTCACTCCACAGTTTCTAAAGGTAAGACTGGCTTGGACCTTAAAATGTCTGCCTTTGTTTGTCAGTTTGTGTTGCACGTGTGTGGCGTCATTACTCTCAAAGGAATAAAACAGGTGGCTCTGAAAACAATAATAATCTAAATCTGCATGGTCCACTGCATGAGGGGGGTTTTGTCTGAGGGATCAGACATTTTGGTTCATACTGAGTCCATCATGTCAAGCACTCTCTGGAGATTTCTTGTGGCACGCTGTGTACCTTCCAACTGATTACATCAGTAGGATACATCTGCTCCCAAAGGTGCTCTACGGGTTGAAATATGGAAGTAAATTTGAGTCACATCAGGATGTCATGTTGGGGTTAGAGTGTGGCCTTTTTTGTACTAAGAAGCGAAGGACAGTCCAAAGAATAATGTGTTTATAAATGGGTTTTTTGTTCAGAGGCAGTTTGACAGGTCTTTTCGTTCTGACTTTTTTTTTTTATCCATGCCTTTTTCTGCCTTAAAATGTGCCAGAAGGACCAGATCTATTGGACAGGCTTCAACTCTTCCCCCACTACTTGTTCCAAAATGTAAAAGACACTGATTACACTGATTTGCCAGATGGAATGACTGTAACGGTAAAGTCTGGACCATATGGCATGGAATATTTTTTCCCCTCAGATACTCAGACACAAGACAAACCTAGTGCAATTACTGGTTTTAATTTGTAGTTTTTTTTTTTTAACTCTGCACCTAACATATTGTTCACAAGTTCTCCCACAGACTAGTTGCGGTCATCATTTGCTTTTTCACAATATATTTGAATGTTCAAGGGTACAGCTCTCAGCCAATATTGAGAGCATGCAAAAAAATATGATTACAAGTTGATTGCAAGTAAATAAAATCTTCAGGCACTATTGCTAAATGATTGATCATCAAGCCCCCTCCATGCCTCAGCCTACCAAGAGTACCTCTGCATTGCCTGAGATCTGCTGGGCTCTGTGCGTTGCTATAGACACCGTTTTGTATATTTGAATTTTGTAGACTAGTCTGTCATGACGATGTGACATTGTTGTGCAAATAAAGTTTTCGGATTTGGGCTTTTATTTGTTTAAAGCCCCTACAAAGAACTTCAAAAAGTTTTGTTTCATTGATTTCAAGGGGAATCTGACCAGGTGGTAGGCATCGAGAACTACTGAAGATAGATAGAAATCACCAGTCTTCTCATGGATAGTCTTGTTTGTTTATGTAGGTCATATAGGGGCATCAGTATTAAATTGAGTGTTTCATAACCAGTTTAAAAACTCATAGACACTTGTAGTACGTTTAATTTTCAGATACCTTTTTAACATTTAAGACTTTCCTTTCTCCTACAAAAATGATGAAATCTTCACAAAATATTTAACACATTATATTTAAACTGCCTACATCAGCTTGGTTGTTATGTATGAGCAAAGTCGATGATCTTAAATCAAGATTAACTTTAATCTGCTTCACTTTAGAGCAGCTGAATTGAGTGGACAAACTTAAACTCTCCCAACTACTACAACTACTGTGACTCACCTTGTGTCTTTATTTTTGTTTAGGATTTGTGTAATGTGGAAGATCCTTGCGATGAATTCACATCCAGACACAGCCTTGAGTGGAAGTTCCTGTTTTTAGATCACAGGTAAAAGATTCTCCATAATTACATCTCTGATCAATCAGAAGTGTAGATTTTATTTTCTTTCTCTCTTACATACTTATGATCTTCTTTGTGGTTTCAGAGCTTCACCAATCATCGGCTACTTACCCTTTGAGGTTCTTGGAACTTCTGGCTATGATTACTATCATGTGGATGACTTGGAGCTTATAGCACAGTGTCATAAGCAATGTAAGTAACTCATCTCTCTCTGTTGCTTATCAAATCGCCTTTGTTCCCACCACATCCAGGAATCCATCTGTGTGAAATCGCTCATAGTTAAATGCATTCTTCCACTGTACTTGTGCACAGAAAAAGCGTTGACACCTAAACACAGCCCTGATGTTCTTTTTTTTCTCTCCTCAGTAATGCAGTTTGGAAAGGGTAAATCCTGCTACTATCGCTTCCTGACCAAAGGTCAGCAGTGGATTTGGTTGCAGACTCACTACTACATCACCTACCACCAGTGGAACTCCAAACCTGAGTTCATTGTCTGCACTCACACTGTTGTCAGGTAAGTCTTTGTCAGTGTCTTGGGATGTATAAGGCATCGGTTGTCTTGGCAAAAATAGCAATTTGTTTAAATGAAGGTTAAATTAGTTCTTTCTATGTGTTGTTTTCCTTGCAGTTATGCTGAGGTGCGAGCTGAAAGGAGGAGAGCGTTTGGCTTTGAAGAGCTGTCTCCTCCTGAGATAGCTCCCTCTTCAGTGAAGGTAAGAGTCCAGACAGTATGTGACGTTAACAAGGTCAGTTCTCTCTGTCAGCTTCAGATCTGACCCTCGGTGTTGAACTCTGTGTTCCAGGCTCAGGAGCTGTACTTGGACATCTGCTCCACACTGGATCCTCCACGGGACAGAAACAGCGGTGCACGTTCGGTATCCTCCCACAGCTCCCGGAAGTCCTCCCACACAGCACTGTCGGACTCTGCATGTGAGTCATCCTCAGCTCCCTAAAGTGCTAACTCACTCAACAGCATGTCAATATGTACAGAAATCCTGCACCTACATGGCTGCAGGAGCTGTTGTTTAAATGTAGATTGTGTTGATAATTTATAGATGGTGACACTTTCCAAGGCAGCAAATAATACGACTCTTACCGTTATTCAACACAACAGTTATAACGCTCAAGCTTTGATTGGGTCAGAGTAATGGAGATGTTAGAATCGTTTTAATAGAATCAAATCCGAGAAGACTTTGTGATCAAAGGTAAAACCTCTGTAACTAAGCAGAGTTGAAGCCAATAAAACACCTACCCTAATATATGTGGGTGACAATGCATCTATGAAGAAATGTTTCCGAGGCTCACTTTAGCATGTTTGAGCCTCCGGTCTCTCTCACTTCAGCTGCTCTTCCACCCACCGTCTAATATACCAAATCACTTGGCTTCCATCTGCATGTTTATGAACAATACACAGTGGCAGATTCATTACAGCTGTGGCTCATAAACATAGCTGCTGCTTCCCTTAACCCCACGCACATATACAGTAAACACGTATTTATTATTTTCAAAGACGTTTTCATAAAAACTGCATCTGTCAGAAAAACAGTTGGTAGATGATTTTTTTATTTTTTCTTCCAATTTGCGTTGGCTACGTTGAAAAAAAAAAACATCCACTGAATGTATCACAGTTAGTGGGTTTAAGTCAGAGGCAGAATGAGGTGGCAATCAAGGGCTTGTGAATCAGCAGTATTGTTATACAACCAGAGAAGAAATGTATTTCATAAGTAGTTCTGCCATTACCTCAGAAAGCTAGTTACTCTGTTGAGTAAGAAACACAAGTATTAAGAATTTTCCCTTTTTTTTGTTAAAGTTAGGGATATTTACATTGAAAACCTAAAATGTCTGAATGCTTATATATTGCATTTATCTGCAGCCAGTAAACATCATGGTGAAACAGATCATCAGGATTTTCAAAATAATGCTAGTCGAATACGTGAAACAGCGTGTAGTATTATTAATACATTAATGCCAATCAAACTCACATTAGATCAATATCTTTTACTGTAAACTCAATTAAAGATCCAGTTATTTTTTCATTTGAAAAATCTTTCTTGCCTGCATCCTCTTCTCAGCAAAAATAGGATTTTGAAAAGTGAGGGGGACATGTTATGCCTTTGTACCAGTGTCTATGAAAAGATCCATAGTGGGAGGGTTTGAAGCAAACATTTTCAGATTACTTGTTATGTCCAGCCAAAAAGCCTTTTAAAAGAGAAGTATCACTTTCACTCAAATAAGTTGTTCTTGCACCGACTGCTGATGATTGACAGATTGTAAGAAGTGTAAGAAACCCACTCAAGAAATGAGTCAAACACCAAAGACTTTGAATGTATCTTGCCTTTGTTGTAGTTATCAGAAAAACAGTGATTATGATTTAACTGAACCTAGCCTCAGTCTAGTATGACTGACATGTATTTAGAGGTAACCCGTTGTCTCTCCTACAGCAGCTAACTCCTACACAGAGGCCTGCACACCGTCATGGCAGTCTGCTTCCATTGGGACCGAGAAGACATCTGCCAGACTCCAACCTAGTAGTTCAAAGGTCAGTTCATACATTGTTTACATGTCTGTCTGTCTGTCTTTGGTAGATAAAATGGTGAGTGGGAAACAAGTGCACAAAGTCAACACAATATCACAGATTGTGCTAAATTGTAAAACTTTGTCGTTTTCCCCTGTAGAATTTGGCACAAAGACAAAATTCCTTTGACCTCGTTCCCCAAATGAGCCTCCCCCTTTCTCCTACCTGCAGCAAGCACTCCGCCATGGTTAGTGTTTAGACTTCTTCTCCTGCCTGTTGCCTTCCTCTTGTCTGTTTGTGTACAATATCTTGTTGTTATCACTGTTGCTGCTGTTGTGTTTATTTCATCTGTTGCTTGTGCCTACAGTTCCCTTCAGGCCTAGTTATAAGATTATGTTATAAAACCAAGTGAGAAAGATGGTTAAAAAAGTATCAAGGTTACGTATGTCTTTTGTGTTGTAGCTTTTCACATTTTGCTTGTGTATTTCTCAAAGAAATCACTCATCCGTATAATTTTTTTGACCTATTTTGCAGAAAAGCTTGATGTGCTTTCACCACCAGAATAAACCATTATATGAGTCAGCTGATTATGTCCTCAGATGCCGTATTTACAGTAGAGCTGTAATGATTACTCAATCAAAAGAAAATTAGTAGCCAACTATTTTGATCATCGATTAATCGTTCTTTAATCCTTTTTCAAGCTAAAATGTCAAACATTTGGGTTTTTTGACTGTTGGTCAGCCAAGAGAAGCAATCTGAAGACATTCACTTTGGGCTATGGGAAATTGTTATGAACATTTTTCACAATTTTATAGACCAAACAATTACTTGTGAAAATAATCATTCAGTCTGCAGCCCTATTTTGCAGTTGGTTCTTAAGTAAAAAAAAAAAATGAAAAGCTAAATTTTTTGGATCATGTCCTTCCAGCAACAGCAAACGCAGCAGCAGCAGTCATCCATGTATCAGCTGCAGCAGCCTCAGCTCTGTGTAATGAACCAGCTGAAGGAGCAGCTGGAGGAGAGGACGCGCATTCTGCAAGCTGACATTAAGACGCAGCAGCAGGAGCTGCACGACATTAAGGAGAAGCTTCACCTCGCTAATCTCCAGGTAACACCCCCACCAAGATAAAAGGAAAAAGGACTCATGTCATGCAGTCAGAAGTAAATATGAAATTAACCAGTGCTCTGAAGTATTATCCACTATAGACAGAAGACAGGAAATGTGGTTTTCTGCATTGGGAAAACACTCAATTTCATAAAAAATTGGTAGCTGCAGATGAAATCTATAAAAAAAAACATGATTAGGCAAGCATGTAATTATCAGCTGTTAAGGAAGTCAACATCATATTGTAAGCTTGTTACCTAACCCCTCACAGCAATGGTGGAATGGCCCCACCAAGAGGCCAACACTAACCAGTTCAGCCACAAATATTCTAACTGCTACATGACCCAAATAACATGCACAGAGAGGGAGACTCTCAGTGCGGTACACAATGGCTGTACAGTAGTGTTTTCTATAATTAAGACAAGTTACCAAATACTGTCGCCTCCCGGGTGTGAATGCAACATGAGATGAGCTGTGAGCTAATCAGAATTACACCTGAACTGAACTGTCCTTTTTTGTTTGCCACTGTTGCCTCACCTAAATTAGAATGTATTTTTTAGGGGGGGCACTTTTGCCTTTATTTGATAAGCACAAAGGCAGACACGAAACAGGGGAAAAAGGGGGTATAATGTGCAACAAAGGCGATGGTTGTGAACGTGTGGCCGTGCGGTATGCACTGTAACCATTGGGCTCCGAAATATGAATAAATCTATGAATAATCTAATAACATACGTAGTGCCGAAAATAAACACAGAACAGAATAACTCAAATCTTCCTACAAATTAGGCAGAATAGCACGTGAGCCATATTATTGGCTGTAGTAAACCCCTAAAACGAATAGATTAATTTTATTTTAGTAAATGAATGATAAATTTGCTTATGTGTGTGTTAGATGTTGTTACAGCAGCCTATCCACAATGACTTTGGCCAGGCCCAGCAGCAGCCCCAGCAGCAGCAGCAGCCCCAGCAGCAGCAGCAGCCCCAGCAGCAGCAGCAGCCCCAGCAGAGCTCGGGAAGGCCGGCCCAGCAGAGCCAGTCAGGGGTGATCAGGCAGCTCTCGAGCCACCCTAAACCACCGTCCTGCGGGGCCCACAGTTCATCCCCTCACTCACTCCTGAGAGAAAGCAGCTCACCCTCATCACAGGTATAGAGCTGTAAAATCCAGATCTGGAACTAATTGTCAGAAAACTGTTTGGAGAGCTATCCTCTAATGCTAATGCTTTGACCGGTGGCTTCTACAGGTTTTTATATGCCGTTTGTATTCCTTTTGTTTCACTGTAGGTCCAGCAGAGGATTGCACGGAGCGGGCAGGCGCAGTCAGCAGTGAGCGTGCCCGTGCAGACGAACACGAGTCTGACGATGCCCTTCTACAGCAACCCTATGATGTTCTCCCAGACCAACACGAGGTCTCTGCAGGATGCAAACCAAAGACACACAGACAGCGAGTTCAACCAAGATGGACAACTACGGTGAGAGCCCTGAAAGAAACGGAGCCTCTTTGACATCACGCTTTGGGTTTTTTTTTTTAAACACTACAGATCGAGTTCTTCAAGTAACACATTTTATTTCCTGCAGCATGCTCCTTAACCAGCCAATGCAGACGCTGGTTCCCACTAGCAGTGTCACCTCGCAGCCTTCCCAGTGCAACATGGGCATCTCCCAAACCATGTGAGTACTGTTTTAATTCGACTACATAGTCTGTTTGTACAGTCTTATTTCATGTTGTGCCTGAGTTCTTCGTTCTGCCCTCCACACAGATACACGTTGGAGCAGCAGATCATCGCCCCTTCGTTCTCCATGCAACAGGTCAACTGCAACGCCGTCCTCGTGCCCTCCCCAGTCTTCACGTCCCCCATCATGATCCCGCACAACAGTTTCATCACAAACCAGTCCCAGTCAGCCTACCACTCTCAGCCTCAGGCTTCTCAGCACTCCTTGCAGCTACAGCAGCCCCAGCAGTTCTTTCAGGTACGATGCCCATCTGCTGCGTAGTGATGCAGCAGTTTTAAGTGCGTAGGTTTTTTTCTAGAAACATATTTTTGACTTATTTTGACTCATTTGTTATGAATTGTTGCATAATGCTGCTCAGTGTGATTACCCAAGGCTTTATATGTACTGATTTATGATAATCTTAGGCATTACACTGCATCTGAATCCCTAGTTACCACAGCAACAAGCTACTGTGCAATTCCCCACAGGCTTTCAACCTAGAGAGCGGTGTTATTTTCAATCATTCTGAAACCCCGGCTTGGATGTAAGAAAGCTGCACTGTGATCTAAAATTCATTAGGTCACATATTAAATCGGGTTACACCAGACTTGTTTATCATATTTGTCCAGAAGGGACAACAGAAGTTGCCAGCTGTTAAAAAAAACTAAATCCCTCCAAAAGCCAAAGACAATATTACATCAGTTTATTTACAGTCACACTGTGGAGCCACTTCAGACCACACATAGATGCCACGAAGTGATCACTTTAGTTCTTGTTCAAGCTATAACATGAGGTACAGTACAACATTTATCATGTGTAGGTTATGTGTTTTTGTTTTTACTGATTGGAGATTTGTATCATTTTATTGTGAGATTGACTAAAAAAAAAAATCTGAAACATTCCTTTTATGTGCAGCAATGATGCAGCCATGGATCATAATGCTTCTTGCCTCGTGCTGAGGTCTGTAGGGATTGAATCTATTCACTAGCCAACAGTCAGCTTCACTTTATTCTGCATTATGAACTATGGTACCTTCAGCTGCCACAGAGCTGCTGCCTATGCCCCATTCACTTATTCGCTGACGGTGGTAATAACTGCTAATGTAGCAGCTCTTGGAGAACTACTGGGATGCTTGGCAGACAGGACGCACTGTTCAATAAGTTTGCCATCATTTTGAAAGTTGTTAATTTCACTCCTAATGTGCGTATCGGGCGCAAAAAATATTGTTCAAGCAACATTAAGCTTGAAATCAGCCAAAGGTCTTGCTTTTTTAAGAAGGTCAAACAGAAGCCCTCTTCCTGCTTCCCACCCTGAAAACGTTCATTCAGCCCGTAAAGGTAAAATACTCAAATACTGGCAGAAGTCCACTCACCTATACACTATGTGTTACGGATCTTAGTCAAGGATTAGACTGGCAACAGCTCAAGAAAGATTTCACAGATCGAAACTTGGTGACAGGGGTTCTGTCAGCAGGTCAGAGTCCATTCATGTTCTCTTTTATGTCCACAGATGGCTCAAGGACTTGTCCATGGTGGATCTACTCCAACATTCTTACACACCGCTAACGTCCCACAGCAAAGCACCGTGGGATACATCCAGCAGCAGCCGCAAACACAGCAAGTGCCGCAAGCACAGCAGCAACAGGCGCAACAGCAACAAAGGCAATACCAATGTTCCCAAAACCAGACTGGCAGTGTTTCAGACTTCCGAAATATGCTGACTCGGTAGCGCTTTGGACCGTGTGACAGCGCTGAGATCACCCACTGTGTTGTCGCCATGTAGGCAGCAGCATGTTGTGGCATTTGGAAGTCAAACTTGACGTCAAGTTCTGCAGTGGAAATGCTCGAGTGGAAAATCGCTTCTAGTGACCTTACTTTTGATGCGAAGGTGCCCATTCAGAAGAAGCCGGTGCGTACGTCACCGGAGTGAAAACCACTGCACTGGGCCGCAGGATCTGAGGACAGTCTGAGGTGCTGGACCTTCATCACTGGGCCCGCATCACACTCACACGTCATCAATCAGTGAAACTGCCGGAACAAGAGGATTATCAAAGCTCTCGAGAAGACACCGCTTCACGCGAGGTTGTTTTTCATCTAGCAAAGAGAGTTTTCTTTCTAAGTGTCTGTTTGCACTTTGGTACCACCCCCTACCCAAAAGTAGAATATTTATTTTTGCCCGTGAATTAATATTCTATTTTCCTCACTCATAAGGCTTAATAGTGAGCTTATTGTTCAAACCTACACCTCGCTCCCCAGTTACATCAATTCGTCAACCCTGGTCAGATTGTCAGCTCGTGAAAATGGGGTCATCTCAAAAAAAGGGATTTTTGTACATGGGAACTCTTTGACTAGATCAAAGTGTACGTCAGTTGGCAGACATCAGACGTCGCTCCCATTTTGTTGGCATGGCAAGTCACTAGAGAGGGGCTTTATTGTGAAACATGCAGTGGTCAGATGTCATATCTGAAAGTCAGGTTTGATAAGAATTTAGATGCAACATACTACACTGGGAAGCTGGGAGGGAATATTCTCCAATTATTAGAAATGTCTATCTAGATTTTTAAAGCCTCAATCTGGGACTGAGGAAGGGCGTCGCACAACTATCGCACCACTTCTCACCGAGAACGACAACAAAGCTCTGAAGTCGTGATTTTAGGTGTTTCTGATGAGTCCTAAACAAGCTAGCAGAGGGGGGGAATTTGTGCCTTTAACCATGGTACGTACCATGGTGTGGTTTGATGGTTTTGGCGGATTATGGCTTTAAAAATCCAGCTCAGGTCCATTTGGAATACAAAATTATATTTTCATAGGTCATAATATATTATTTTCCACAGTGCATCAGATTGAAACAAAAGACATCTGGATTTGTAATGGATATATTACAAATATATAATGGATGCTTTTTGCAACCTTGACATCAAATCCAAACTCTTTCTATGATGATAGCATCTAATAAGATTCATTTAACATTTGAAACCCTAATGAACTCATATTTATTACATATAAATTAGAAAAGTATACGGGATTAAGAAACTAGTTTTCTACACTAAAGTTCTAATTGTTTGGGTTAATTTAGACATTGTGTAAGGTCAACACCGGTCTTAATGTCTTACCCCACCCGGGTTAATGGTTTAATGCGAGTGGTTTTCACGAGAGCAGTGCACCACCACAGACCTGCATGTGGCTCACAGTAATTTTCCATACCATGATACAACAAACAGCTGCGGAGGGGTTAGCTTAGTGATTTGAAACACAGGATGATGATTTTGGAGAGATTCTGCCTGCTACCTGGTTGTCAGCAGTATTACCTTGTTTATTCTACTCTGGATATTTGTTTTAGACCCTCCGGGAAGTGTACTCTAACCATGACCACGTGAGCTCATTTACATTGCTTCCTGCTTTGAATGTGATCTCATTGAAAAAAACCAAAACAAACATATTGCTCGCAGATATTAATTCCCCCTGAAAATGAACCTCCACTGCGTTATATTATGTAAATTATCATTCATGCAGTGATTACAAAAACTATATATATCTGACATTATTTTAAGTATCAAATACTGATTTGCCTATATATATATATATGGAAGTTACTCAAGTTCTTTCTTGTCAGTATTTCAAGATGTTATAATCTTGTTCTTTTCATACTGTAACTTTTCCAGTCCATCATATTTGAGAGAGATGTTGTTTTATGTTCGTTTGGTGAAAGAAATCCCTGCGATTTGTGCAACTGCTAATCAGCTTTATAGACTGCACTCCAACCTCAAACAGTCATATTATAGATATTATATATATTGAATATAAAGGTAAACGGATGCTAACATATTTACTCATGTTGCAATGTTGTATCTGGCATTCTTTGAAGATAATGTTGATTGCAGCACAGTCATACTGGTCAGAAGACAGTGTGGAGTATACTGGTGAAGCTGGATTAGCAGTTGAACAACATCCAGGAAGAATACGCACAAAACATACATACATCTCTGTCCCTATCTCTCTTTTGTTAATGACAATCAGAGACAACTTTTAACTGTACAGACACTGCTCGTGCCAGAGTCTGAATGTAAATTTAACACATTTCTACCGTTTGAATTTGCTCGTGTTACAGAGTCGTTCCTGTATAGCTCAGCAGGAAAAAACCCAGTATTTCCTGAAATCCTCACTGTGGAACTTGTGCTACACTTTATAAAAAAGCAGCCCTTCACGCTGGGCTCAGCCACCCCAGCTGTACACATTCGGGTTAGCTACGTCATAGTCCCTTTTCAAGACTGGTGCTGTTCATAGCGGACGACAAGACTCAACTGTCAGAAGAACGTGCGTCAACATGTACGTTCAGTGCCCTTTTACACTTTCCTATGTGCAATGTCAATTTGAAAAAGAAGAATGTTAATTTATACTGTTTTAAATGTTTCACAGCAGATGTACGATGTATATAGAGGTGTATAATAAGCCATTGTACCATGTAAATTATATGGAAGTATTTTTTTAATGAAATTGTCCTAACATTCCTTTAGCCGTTGATATCAGCAGTATCTTTTTTTTTTTTTTAAAAAAGGTACAAGATGTGTCCAGTGAAGAGTATGATTACAGTGATTATACAGGACTTTGTTTGGTGACGCTGAGTGTTAGTTTTTTTCTTTTCCCCCAAACGTGATGTAAAAACAGAGAAACTCTGGAGTAAAGGGTCATATGTTCACCATGATTGTGAAAAAATATTAAATGAAGAATCTTAATCCTTATGTCCTTGTCAAGCAGAATTACAGACACTCACATCAGGGTGCGGGAACAACTGTCCAGCTGTATGGTCGCTGCTAGTGATAACAACAGCTGAGTGTTTATTGTTTTTGTAAGTTTAATGGGTTTCAGTTTTTTTTCTTTTAAGCTTTTAAGAAAAAGTGCAATTGTACATCATCAAAATATTTATTTTTAGACGGCAGAGGGAAGTCTCAGTCTCCCTGTATGTATTTCTATACATCCGTCTGTTAAATGACAGCCCATATAAGTTCAGCTCAGCCAGCAACTCAGAGGTGCCATAGATGATTATATTTTTACTTCCCTTCACCACCCGATGTTACTTCAAAGATTTGTTTTTCCCGTCTAAAACACATAATTTAGAGAGGAGATTGTTATTTGCCTTGCAAGGTGGTTGAGGGAAATTCTGCTCATTAAACTGAACTGTGAGGTAATCAAGTTGAGATAGTTCACGCGTTGTGCTCCAGATGTGGGTTAGGACCTAAATTATTTTAAATTGGACAAATCATCTCAACCTCTGCCATGTTTGGGTTTTGAGATGATTTTTCTTTTTTTTTCCTTTTTTTTTTTAAAAAGGTGTGTATTGCTTCGCAGGAGTTATTGTAAATAATCCATCTGCTTAGTCGATGTTGTTTTTCTTTATAGTTGCACCTGTTTTCTTTCTTTCTTCATCGTTTCAGAATGCTTCTCTGCTTCATGGGGTTTTTCATTGAGTGTCATTGTTGTTTGAAGGCATGTGATTTGAGTCACATAGAACTTGTACTTTTCTGGTTTGTAAAATAATGACTGACACCTTTGATGTGTGAGTGGGCAGTCAGATCAATGCTTTCTGTGTAAGATTTACCAGGACATGAACAAAACAAACCTGGTTCACAGCCATTTCTGCAGTTTCAGTGCAGAAACAAACATTGAATATATTGTATAATAGAATGTAAAAAAAAGTTATACTATATAGTTGTTTATTTTATATGTCTAATAGATTACATATGTATGTTACATGATTTTAAAATTAAAGTAATTTTGTAACAGATAATGAAGTGTCTTATTAGAGGAGGTGAGGCTTTTTTTTGCGTTCAAGTTGGTGTTGCACAGTCACTTGTACGGCTTGTTTTCTCTGTATTTACCATCAAAATAAGCTTTAAAAAATATCGTTAATATTGTTTTAAAAGAAATTAACAAATTAAGTTTACATTCTAAAATATCTTGATATTAATTATGTTATTGAATTATTTATAAATCAACCTGGACATTGTGAAATATATGAAAATAAATATTTTTAAACATATGTATTGTTATTCTGAGCAAACTGTTTACGTAGAAAATGTATACAAGACTGTTCCTCAGCTGTGTGTTGCAAAAAGCTGTAGTTTCATATCAGAAAGCCAGGCTACTATTAATTTATAAAGAAGACTCGGCTGGACATAAAGGAAAAAGGTTTGACTTTAAAGTACCAGTGTGGAGGATTTTTTGGCATCTAGCGGTGAAGTTGCAGACTGAAAACTACTAGCATCCATAATTCACGATGTAGGAATGAGGCTGGGAAGTGTGTAGAAGAAACTACGGTGGCCACTATCTACAGCCAGTGTTTGGTTTGTCCATTCTGGGCTACTGTAGAAACATAGCCATATTGTGCAACAAGGTTTTAACACTTCTCTAACAAGTAGGTTATCTCTCACATGAAGCTCAACATTACGTTTGTTGATTGTGGGTTAATGAGCAGATTTAGGATGTAACATTACTTGGGGTGTGGGGGAGCTCATATAAGCCACTGTCACACCTCCCTACGATCTGATTTTCATGCTGATTCGTTTGATTGCAGTCATCCAAAATACCACTCCTTTCTCTCTGTCTGAAGTCTGGAGACACTATTTCCTGTTTAGAGGAGCAGGGACTTTTAGTGTGTAGTAAACCTTATTTGTAGCCTAAGCAGCATCCGTCAGTCACAGTGAAATAAAATATACAATTTTATGTATTTCAGTGTTTTAATTGGCAATTAAACATTTTACTCTCTATTTAACTCAGATTTAAGCATTACTTAAACTATTATGTGACATTTACAGAGAATGTACAGGTATCAAATTATAGTCTATCCAAAAACCCTAAAAACTGCCTAATTACATGATTAATGTACACTGATAATAAATACAAAGTCACACAACTGAACATGTGCTCTTCTGTATGTCCTAGTTGAGACAAACCTCTGTCACTCTGTACAACTTGCTGATAAGTACTTCCACGTTATCTCCACCCAGATGACAAAGGTCCAAGATGCACATGACATGCATGTCCTCCAGTTCACTGGCAGTCCTTAAGATATCCTCTGCAAGACAAACATTTCACATTGTAGCATCACCGGTCACACTGATCCTAAATATGATACCATGCACTGTTGTAGTGATAAGACTTCCCAGGTCTGCTGGGAAAGAATGCGTCAAAGCCAAACGGTGTGGTGACCGTTGACTGACTGGGTGCTGTGGTGTCTACCTGGCTCAGGAAGTGTTGATTCACTGTGGCTGGCAGAGTCGGTAAGAGGGCAGAGGAAGCCTGATGAAAGGCAGGACAGCATTGTGTTGCCATGGGGATTCTGAGGAAGCCCTACAGCCCTGGGCATATCTGAGCTCACAACAGGAAAATATGCGGCATCAACGGCTATTTGCTTGTTTATACCTGTCAAAAAGATTAAAAAAGAAGATTGTAAACTGATCGTCATCACCTTCTTTGCTAACAATCTAACAACATAAAAAAAAAGCAATTTTTTTAAGATGTTTTATTTCCTTTTTTAAGAAGTTAAATAAAGACGGGCTCTAAAGGTGGACATACCTGAGAATATGTGCCGGCTGTGTGCTATGATTCTAAAAGCTGCTGTTCGAAGACAACGTCATGTTCAACTAACCCAACCTAACCAAAGCTACAGGGGTGGGTGCTGGTTGTGAAGCAGGGAGAAGCTATAGAGGTTAGCATTGAAAGAAGAAACGGCACTGAAGGCTCTCGCTCTTCTCCAGTTCCTCCTAAGTAATATAATAAAAACTTAAAATCTAGGTCTACACTCGTAAAGGATTAAACGAATTGGACAGCAATTTTTTGTCTACTTAAGAGAGTCGTCCACAAGACAGATGCACTCAGAACATTATGTAGGAAACAAGAGGGTCTTCTGACAAACAGAATGGACAACAGAGGCTGAAACGCTGGAACAGATGAGAGTAATTCTTGCTATAAAACCTTACCTAGTATTGTTACTTGGTAGTATCCTGGACAAACCACAGATGAGATGCTGTCAGCGGTTTGCTCCGGTGCCCAGTGCGTTGGCTGAAGGTTGCTCCACTGCAGAAGGACATCCTTTTCGTTAAACGTGAACCTCCGAGAGAAGCTGCCCTGGTACAGACCACCCTGACACAAATGTTCAGACGCTTCTTGTTGTTGCTTCAGCCAACTGCTGCTTTCCCAGGATAACACATCAGAGTCTGGTAGAAACAAAGACAACCAGTGACACTTTATCA